TAAAAATATAACTAAGAATAGGGTTGTAGACATTGGTAAACTGAATTTCCAGAAGCTGGGACAAACATCTTCAAGCTGACAGCATTTGTTTTAGAGTCAAAAGACAAGATTAAATCCTGATTATCACTTACTAGCAAGTCATTTCACCTTCCTGGGACTCTGTTTCCTCATCTGTAAACAAGTCTTCTCCGGCTTCAAAAGCCTACAAGTAGAAGTGGACTTCTATTTTTATGCATTGAGTTTGAAAGATATTTTAAATAAGAAGGCTCCTGGAAAAAAGAAAATGGTTTACTAGTGTGTCTTGCAACTGACACTTTAGTATATTCATACATAAAGTTTAAAGATGGTAAGTGGGTTAAAATAATTTAGTAGTAAGTTGGTCTAAAAACATTTTGCAGAGAAAATATATATAAACAATTATAGAAAAAATTATAAAGTGCCTAGTATTTTAAAAGAATATACAGAAAATACAGCAATCAGGGCAGAGTCAGGAAGTCTAGTGGTAACCAACCTATGATTTGCAGTATTTGTAAAAATTTTTTTAAAACTGTCTAAAATTGTACTATTTTCTTTTTCTTTTTTTTTTTAACTGCTACATAAACAGTATTACAAGATGATTCCATAATGCTTTGCCATTATGTATACTGAGAATTTTTAAGTCACTGGCCTAATGTAGCCCTATCATAAAACATGATTTGTTTAGTTCTCCTTATTAGCAATGCCATATAGTTAGGGATACTGGAATCAATATTATTACATATAAGATTCTGAGAAACAATTTTAATGTCTTTTATAACCACTTTGATCAAATCTATGATTTGCACAATTTTAAAGAAACTCTGATAGAAACTTAGGTCTTCCATTTTCCACGTTCCCTATTTAAAGGGACCTCAGCCATATCCAAGCTTCCTATTTTAGCCTCCTAAAATTGGATGCACATTTAGAAAAGGCTCTTAGCTCTCTCTTACTACCTTGTACACTCTTTTAAAATAATGCACAGAAATACTTGTATTATCTTAGGTTGCTTGAAATAGTTTCTAGGTAAAGTCATCAGTTCTGTGTATAATCTTACCAGTGTATTTTTTTTTTTTTTGTCTTTTTCCGTGTCCGGCAACGGATCGCAACCCTCAGTGTCGCCCCCTACCGGACCGGGACCGGAAACGGGATCGCAACCCTCGGTGTTGCTCCCGCGCCTCGCTCAGCCAGTGAGCGGGAACCGGTCTGTATGTGGGATCCGAACCCTTGGGCGGGAGCGCCGCCGTGCTTCCCAAGCGGCGCACTATCCAGTGCGCCACCGGGCCGGCCCCAGTGTATTCTTTATATAAATTTTATCTGTATGTTATCTTACAGTTTTAATTTTGGAGCTTTTTCAAAAGAGTTTTAAGATCTTTTATTATTTTAAGCCTAACATAAACTAAAAACTTAAAAAGTATTATAGTCTTATAGATCATGCATTCAAGACAGCAAGAAAGTACGAGGGTACTTCAAAAAGTTCATGGAAAAATAGAATTAAACATAATCTTTCCATGAACTTTTTGAAGTACCCTCGTTTAAAATATCTCTTATCAAATATAGGAGGAAAATAATGTTTTACACACACACACACACACACATTCATAACCTAAAGGATTCTTCCAAGCCCTAGTTTTACAAGGAAGAGTACCCACTTGTTTTTCACTCAAAGCCACATTTAAATTCAAATATTACTCTTTCAAAAAAGCATGCCTCATTTCTGGTGAGTTCCTAAAATGTAGGAAGCTGTTACATATACTTTTGGGCAATGACATACCACTTTGGTGCCCCACAAAACTCTAGCCGGACCAGATTCCACCCCACTTCCAGCAAAGCATGCTCCAGTTCATTTCCCTCTTTCTGTCCGATGTCTTCCTTCTTTCTACATATCAGACATACACTCCTTCAAAATTCAAACCCTCAAAAGCTTCAGTCTCAGCCAGAGTACTAAAAATCCAGGCCAACAAGATCAAGAATATGACAACAAACTCTGTTTGGGGAAAAACAACTCTGCAGTGATAAAAATTCCAAGGCTATTTAAAAAAAAGAATAAAAAAAAAAATGCCTCTCATTTTCTGAGGCCTGCTCCATTAGATTCAGCTCTCCTTGGGTCTCTCTCCTGAATTCTGGAAGTCCAGGATTTCTAATAATGCATAATCATGTTTGTTTCTCATTTTCCTTTTACTCTTCCCGTCACCCCCCTGCAATCTAAGAGCTATGAGATCCATGCTAAGCAAACAGAGGCTGTATGGTCGTCTTTACTGTTAGATTTCCAGTGCCTAGAAGTGCCAGAACATGGGATGCTTCAATACCTTACCTCTTTAGTGAATGAATGACTAGACTTGTATTTAAATATTCCACATGTACATTCTTTTTATCCAGGTCATTTTTAAGGGCAAGGACTATTTTATTATCTTACATCATTTATATCACTATGTTCATGTCCATAATGGACTAAAGACGAAAGTACACTTAGAAGTATGGAAAGATTGGGTCCCCTGGGCCTAGTACCTCATTCAAAACAGTTAAAGATTTGTAATATTGACTGTTGTTAGAAGGATCACTGTGACCAGGAACCACATCTCATGTTTCTAAAACAAACAAACAAAAATAACGAAGTTACATTTTTGGTAAGAGTTCTAAAGTCAAAATACATGATGAAAAGTCAGAGTAAAAGTTATCTTTGAAAATCTTTTCAGGGGCCGACCCCGTGGCTCACTCGGGAGAGTGCAGTGCTGGGAGCTCCGAGGCCACAGGTTCGGATCCTATATAGGGATGGCTGGTGCACTCACTGGCTGAGCGTGGTGTGGGTGACACCAAGCCAAGGGTTACGATCCTCTTACCAGTCACGAAAAAAAAAAAGAAAGAAAATCTTTTCAGTGGGTCTCGCCAAAAATATAGCATACAAGGTTTTGTACATACCTCACCAAGTCTCAGTCAGTAAGATATCTTAGTATAATTTCCACCAGGATTTGGTGGAAACAGCTGTTTCTTGCAATAAGTATCATGTAAAGTAGTTGTATTTTTAGGGGCCACGTACTAAAAAAAGGTACTTTTTGTTGATTTCCTTTCCCTACTAACTGCATATAGTTGAATTACCTGAGCATTTTCTGCAATAACACTGAACACAGCACTGTAAAGACAATGAGTTAGTTCTACAAATAAAAACTGCAGGCAAGATAGCAGTGACAAAAGCTAAAGAGTCTATCAATTCAGAAACTATCACAATATATCCCTGAATGTCAAGTCTCTAATAACTTGGAAAATTGCCCCCAAATTTCCTCAAGTAAACTGGTAACCTGTAAGCTTTGCAACATCTTTCCTATAGCATATAGTGTCTACCTTTATTCCTTTACATATGAATTGTTTACAAAAAAAAAAGTATTTTTTTCAAAAGTATTTTTCTAAAATAGGAATGAAATCTAGATTCTGGAAAAATGTTTTATTATATGTTTTCTGATTTCTGGAAATTCTGGATTTCTAATAATGCATTAAAAAATGTTATTTAAGATTTAAGATAGTCTGTTTCAAAATCATAAACAAATCTAGTTAAAGGAAAAACACTACAAAAATGTAGATGCTTCCCCCTCTGCCCCCCACCAAAATCAATTCTAGCCTTAAAAAGAAATACTCTATGTAATTACCATGTGATCCACAATTTCACTCCTGGGCATTTGTCCCAGGAAAATGAAAACTTATGTTCACACAAAAACCTCTACATGAATGTTTATAGCAGTTTTATTCATAATAGTCAAAAAGCCAGAAACAACCCTGAAGTCCCAAGTGGGGAATGGTTAAACAAACTGTGGCACACCCATACCATGGAACACTCCTCAACAGCAACAGAAAAGGAGCAAACTATTGACACATGCAAGTTGAATCTCCAGAAAATGATGCTGAGTGAAAAAAGCCAATCCCAAAAGGTTACACACCATGATTCCATTTATATAACATTCTTGAAAGAACAAGATTATAGAAATGGAGAACAGATTAGTGGTTGCTTGGGTTAAGGAGAGGGTGGGATGGGAGACAAGTAGATGTGGCTATACAAGAGTAATATGAGGGATCCTTGTGGTGATGGAAATGGTCTCTATCTTGACAGTATCAATGTCAACGTCTAGGTTGTGATATTATACTATATATTGCAAGATGTTACTACTGGGGGAAACTGGGTAAAATGTTCAAGGATCTTTCTGTATTATTTTGTACAACTGCACGTGAGTCTATAATTATCTCAAATATAAAGTTGAATTAAAATAAAAACAAAAAACGGAATACTCTAGCCTAATAAATTTACTTTGCTATACTGAGATCTAAGCTTAAGAATTCATCATAGCATTTGGATTCTTTGTAAAAACTATGGAGGTGGATGAAGTATAATGTGGGTCACTCACAAAATAATTCACCTCAGTTTCTACAAGTGTCCTCAGCTTCTGTGAGTCTCCCCAGGTCCCTCCCTAAGGGCTACCTCTGGTCAGACATACCCCTTCACAGTGTTCACACCACAGAGGCTGGAGGCCTGCCTGTACAGAGGAACCCTTCTATTTTCTTACAGCTGCTATAAAGGCCACAAAAGGAATTTCCCAATGGCCAGATAATCTGTCATTACTCAGTCTGTCCAAATGTAGGAACTCTGTGAAAGAACTGGATGTCAACTTCTTTACATAAATCAAATGCTCAAACACATCACAAATGCTCGGCCAGTTAAGGCAACTTTTTCTTGTATCTGAATTAAGCTAACAGATTTGTTTGAGGAGGAAATGTTCTATTCCAGAAGAACTAATACAGAGAATTAAAATATACATATGGATACTTTTCAAGTCTTTTTTCTCCTGTGAATGTAATAGTCATATTAGAAAGTGATTTTAAACCTAGTCTAATAATATCTGACTGCCAGAAGAATTACTATGATAGAGAGGGGGATTTTTTTTATGAACCCTCTTTTTCAGGTATCAACATTCATTGAATTCAATAAAGACATTTTAGAAAAAAGTCAACATATAAAATTCACTTTATTTTTCTTATACTTTGATAAAAGAGAAAATATTTGGTGATATTCCATAATACTAAGCATTTTCAATAAAATTGGTGAGCAAGAAGAGCACAAATGGAATCATACTCTTCTGCATGACAACTGAGGATTTTAATTGGAAAAATATTATAGTCTACAAATAGCAACATCCAAAACATATTTAAACCACCCAAGCACTTGATTTTTCCATGTCCTTTGCATTTAGATTGAAACAGATCACAGGAAATTTCAAAGATCCATGGCTGAATCTAAAAGAAAAAAAAAATCTATTTAGTTGTCATGATCATTGTCACTATCAATCCCTAATATCCTGTACTTCACTGATCACACTTAACTTTGCTATGCTGCTTAATACTTGGGAGAAGACAAATCACTAATCAATTATGTATACTAATTAAAAACGCTACCATTAGGAAGCATTTTAATAACTTAGTAATAGGGGTGAAGTGTTTCCTCTAACTGCCTACTTTAAAACATTTTTGATAACACATTAACCAGGATGCACTAAACATTTGCAAATACTTAATGCTACAGTCTACATAAACTATCAAATTGCTCCCCAAAAGTAGTGGTACAATTCTGCAACTGGTTAAGGTCACATGGAAAATAGAATTATATGCTAATTTGTTCCTATATAAAGTTATCATAGAAGGTCAGACCAAACACAGTAAATTGAATTCTGGAAAAAAAGTTAACTAAGTAGACTGGTATGTACCGTATCAAAGTAAACTGTTTATCTTAACAGATACAAATACAAGAAAGAATTTTTAAGCAGGGGCATTTTCTCCTTTTGAAAAACCAATAATTTAACCAGGCAATGACTTTCATGATTTGCAAATATTTTATACAAATAGTTTTTCCTTAAAGGAGAACAGGGGCAGGAGGAAAAAAGAAATGGAGAAAAGCATAGTATCCAAAAGAGAACAATTTCCCCAGAAAAAGCTTTACTTTATCTCCATATGTCTGAAATTTAATTCACATAAATAGTTTTAGACATGAACTGTAAAATGAAAACATAGGTTCAAACTAAATGATAGGGTCAGGAGGTGTTGACTATAATACATTTATTATTTTATTCCAAAATAACTAAACAATATAGGTGTTTTCTTAGCATAAAATTGTCTGAAGAAAATACGCTTTATTTAAAAACTACTGAGGAAAAAAATTTACATCTACTTTTTTTTTCTGGAAGGCATAAGTAATTCTATAGATAATACGTGGACTTAAAAAAAACATAAACCAAATTAATGGTTGAAAAATTTGGGCTACCAGTTTTGTATATGATGATGGTTTATTTCTCGTATTTCCACATTTTAAAAGTCCTTTTATAGAAAAATGGAAAGAATTTGGGGAGGGGGGATTGATGGATAAATGAAATCTTATAGCACGTGAAATCATTGGTCCAGTATTTCATAAAGCACCCAGTTTACTGCAGGACGCAACTAAGACACATTACAGAAATCATCTGTGTCACACCCTCAGGCAAATTCCCAGGAAAAAATAAAATGATAATTTTGTATTCTAGAGTCTACCTTTTTTTCCATTAAAAATATATTTATATTTTCCATTTTATTTCAACGTTTCCAATGCCATGCTACTAGTGTTCACAAAAAGCCAGCTTAATTTTCTGAAAATCATAATTCATTTTTAATTTCTAAAGGGATTTTATCTATTGATTTTAATAAGGTTTTATTACTATTAGTTACCATAAAATGAGTTGGGTTCCCATGAAATATCAGTTTGACATCTTGTTCAAATACTTACTTTTCTACTATATATTATCAGCATTGTTTACCCTATTTTCTCCTTGCCAAGTTAGATACAGTGATACTTGCTCAGGCATAAAATCTTCAGACACCTTCATGGACTATAAATATAATGGTATATACATCTTACTACCATTCTTGTTTGAAGGATCTTATATATTGGGATCTTAATTCATAAAAAGTTGAGAATTACCTTAAAAAGGGTGGGGGGGAAGTCTGACAAAAGGGGAAACATGCACTGATGCCTAAAAAAATCAGGACTTAAGTCAATTAATCTTCATTCCCACTGAAAGCAATCTGATGTCCAGAGACTGAGAGTTATTCTACCATAAAATAAGGCACATTAAATACTACAATAACCCACTTGAAATGTCTTGATATAATTACTATGTCATCTAGAAATGATTGTACATATAGTTATATCTTAATATTCATTATTGGAGGTTCCAGTGAAAAATACATTGAAACTGGAAAAAATTAAGTCAATTAGAGATTACATCAAACAAATCAGTAGCTATTCTATGACTAAAAGTAAGACTCAAAATAAGATTTAAAAAGAATTGCTAAAAGCAAGGGCAAAATATTTGTACCCTGCTTATCACAAACAACACAAACAATTCCTGATAGTTTGCTTATAAAACTCTGTATTTCTACTGGCTAGCTGAAAAGAATGAAAAGCTTCTTACAAATAGCTAAAAAGAAAGTCTTTACCATGCCCCTTGAAAAAGCTCATTTTCACATTACTCAGGCTTCATTATGCTAAATCAATATTCGTTTAGTCACTGGGGTTATTGACATATTTTAAAATAAAAGTATACCCTTCAGCTACTGCACTCATTACAGGTAATTTGTCTTGTCAGAGAGCAGGGAATATTATCCTAGTCTTTCAGGGGCTGACAGCCCATGGAAATACCTCCCCATGGTTACAACTGTAAATAATTTTAAGGTAAAATATTGAAAAATCAATGACTGTTTCCTGCAATCTGTCACAAACAAATCAATCATAATCTGTACTGCCAGAGAGTATGATTTGAAGGAGATGGGAGCAGATGTAATTCTTGGCTGGAATCTCTCATTTCAAAATCACTTCACATAATGGTGTCATCATTTAAACACTTAACAGTCAGTGCAACTGCCACTGTAACATCTAGTTGGACAAAACCACAAGGAGGAGGAGGAGAAAATGCCATCACTATTATGTTAACAAACATTTAATTTAAATGGTTGCTGCATTAGTAAATTTCAGCTGAAAACAGTTTAACCTGCCCCCTTTCACAATTCTAAATAAATCAAGGCTGCTTTTCTATGTTCTGATGCTTAGTAAATTAGCCCATGACTCAAATTTTACTCTCTGAAGAATACATATATACTTTTTATTTTAAAAGTCCATTATAGAGAATAAAATATAGAATTAACAAATAAGATATTTGGGTTGTAGAATATGCATAATTCTGTCTATATAACAATGACAAAAAATAGTGTCATAGATGTCAAGATCATACTTTTAAAGTAGGTTTAAAGGCCTCAGCTGCCAAGATATTAAATTTTAAATTTTCTTTCCATTAATAAATATTACGTTTCAACTTTGTAATATTGTAGCATATTTTAAGATGATCAGCAAGACCTAGTTAATTTGAAAATACCCGTGCACTCCATATACAAGCTATAGGATAGACTGATACTTTAAAAGCCAGAGTTGTAACCGATGTATATAAAGTGTAAAAGTGAGTCAAGGTCATAATATTAAAGTGTTTTGCAAATGTAAACTGTTTTTCAAGTTATCAGTTTGATATCACAAACATATCAAACTACATTTTTCTAGACTACATTTTAATGACTTTCTCAGTACAATCTCTCCATAGGCATGAATAAAATAATCTGAAATTGGTATATTTCCCTTTCCTGCTCTGTTAACCAAAAATACTATTTGGCTTAAAGATTTTTCTTAAAGTTTTCTGTTTTTAAATGTACGCTAGTTCCTTTAATGGAGGAAATCAATTTTAGCTACCACATTTCTTACCAATTCTCTAATTATATAACTACCATTATACAATTTAAGACCATATATACATTCTTAGACATAGTAAATGATCTTTCATAAAAGGGTTTTACTCTGTTTTTAATTCAACCTGCATATTCAGTGGGGCAACATAGCTTCAGAAGATAGAATCTTGTCTGATAGATAAAAATTAAACCCAGTTTTGCTCTTCAAGAATCTTAGACTGATTCTTCAATACCAACATTAGGTTTTTTTGAAAATGAAAAGGCACACGGGTAACTTATCAAAGATATCATCCAGAATAAAACAGAGTCCTCCATTCCATGTGAATCTCTGCAACAGCTGCAAAGTAAGTAGCAAGCCAACCTAGCAAGAGGAAAAGGATTACACAAAAAATGGAAAGGGACCTAAGGCTGTGAACCAGGAAAAGAACCCATGTGTGTGAACTCCTGGCCTCCAGTACACTAGAATGCCTCAGGCTGGGCCCAACTAACTTCTTGGCAGAGCTCTGGAACCAGCTGCCAACCACCAAGTCTTCCACTCAGAGCTTGGTTGTGGCTGGCGGTTAAATCACCCTGCAGAGAATCCATACCCCCAAATGAAGACTACAAAGAACTGGGAGGTAAGTGAGGACAGTTAAACAACATGCTAAATGCATGCGCATCAACCACGAACTAAACTGACATCTACTAGAACTGTGCAGAACACCTTCACAGATCTAATTCTCAGAAAGAAGCTATTTTAAGGGTGCTGAGTATGCCTAAGTGATATTTCTCAGCTCTCCCAATGCAGCCCATAGCCCTAGGAGAAGCAGGCTCAAAAACTTAGCAGAGGAAAATATGATAGTTTCCATATCCCAAATTTAAAGCAATTGCTGTCTACTGGACAAAGTTCTTACACATAATAAAGATTCAGGATTACAAAGGAAAGTATTCTTTTAAAAGAGATAATATTACCTCCCTATCTTCAGAATCTCTTCCTTCTAGTAGCCAGTACAGTAGCTCCATTATGAACTGTAGACTCTTAAAGAGAAAAACAGCAACAGTTAACTTCATCTTTAGTACCACTTCCTTCCTTCATGGAATTACAATTTAATTACCAATATTTCAATAGATTTTATTCCTGGATGATGCATTCTCAAAAAGCATACACTTTAGCTATTTGCACTAGAGAACACTTAGTACAACCTTCTCAATTAATCAACCATGACTCATTACTGCTAAAAGGATATGTTTTCTTCATATTTTCAAAAGAGTAGGAACGCCCCCAACCATCTCTTTTATATAAAAGGAATATTAAGAGTTTTAGTACATTTGAATACTTTTAATACACATGAAATATGAATCTTAATAATAAATCTGGCTGATAGATGTAAAACTCAACCAATCAGCATATATGCTTAGATTTTTCCTATAGTATTTATCCTTAGAAGGAAAAAAAAAAAAATCCCAATCCTCCTATCTTTTAAATTCAGTAACTTTATACACGGTTTAAACAAAGCAAAACAAAAACAAAAACCTAAGCTTAAAGGCAAACAAAAGGAATCAGATTGCTCATTACTTAACATTTTCTTTATATTTGTGCTGTGTGTTTTCTAATTTGCTGTTAATGCTTAAGCTCTCAGTCATATATGAAATCCCACTTCCGTAATTGCCAATCAGTAATAGGGGAATACAAGGATATTATTTAAAAACAATCAGTAATAGGGGAACATAAGGATGTTATTTAAAAACAATTATATATTACTTCATATTAAATTAAAAATCACTTTAATGTCTTTGAAAGTATTCACAGAGAAGCATTTGTTCTATTGGAGGCTATACTACCTATAGCTGCCTTCTGCAAAATTAGCTTTTTTTTTTGTCACACAACCATCTTTTTTACATAACAAAATGTTCTATCTCACAAAATCCAGTTCCTTGCTCTGCCCACTAGACAACACAAATACTCTGCAAAATACTTCTTTTTTATAGCTTTCTCATCTGCCTGTATTCAGCAGCCCCTATTTTGATGAGAAATGACAAGTTTTAGTACACCTATATACTCTTTGTCATTAAAAGGGTTTGGTACCCATGACTGGAGCTGATACTCCCATTAAATTTATTCTTCAAAGAACTAGGTAATCAAAATAATAAAATACTGTGATTTGGTATAAACAGATTATTTCCTTTAAATAATAATTATATTTCTATAAAATATAATCTTAGTCTTGATTTTCATAAAAAGTACTGAGTTTATAAATTTTACTGTCCAATGATATCATTAAAAGGAAATTATTCAATGTAATTCGATGATAAGTGATAAATAAAAAATTATTCAATGTCATTCCATGCATCAAAAAAATTTCTACTTACTGCACTCTTGTTTAATACATTAATAAAATTTTTAATAATCAAAGACCTCAAGTGACAGGCTCTACATTCTTTACTTAGCCCCTGTTACCAATATAAATGCTTTGGTAAAACTAACACTGATGCTATTTTGGGTTTACACACAAGCAAACCACATGCAGACACTCACTTGCAGATGAGCCTTGGGATGTGCAAGGACAAATCTCAGCCGACATATGGAGGAACCTCACAGTTCAGAAGTGAACTTAGCTGGCAACATCTGAATATGTTATGGAAGGATCATACTTATCACCTGCACAGAAAATGGAAATTATTCTGTTTATGAAAACACAGCATATTAGTAATACTTTGGGGATATTAGATATGAATATCTAATTTTCTCCAAGGTATCACTCCATATTATGGCAAATAAACAAATAAAAGCTGTATCAAGGTGAGGAATATCATTAGCCCGAGAAAAGGCTAGAAAAATGGATTAAATAAATGACAACTGCAGGAGAAAATTATACTGCCTTCTCCTGAACAAATGTTAAGTGCACCCTTCCTAATAAAGACTTAAACTCAAACTACATTAGAATATACTGGTTTTCAATTTTGAAGCATCTAAGTTAATTTGCTAAGGTAAATTGGTGCTTAGGTATACTATAGCTATAGAAACACTGAAGATTAATGCAGAAATAAGTCATCAGTATCATACTTCACATTAGTGTGGTAAAAGCAAACCAGAGTCATTACTGAACAAGGAAAAAAATAATTCCTAGATTTTTACATGTTCTTAGAGTTGTATCAGCTGCTATCCTATTAAGAAAAATTATTCTCTATAAAACAGCTAACAAGTATACGAAAAAGATGTTAAAAATATAGTAGTCAACACAACGCAGAAACTGAAGAAAAATATACAAAGGTAATGAGATACTACCATTCAAAATAGGCTGTGCTATCTGAGAGTTAAAACATTCCAAAGCATGATACTGTGTTCATAACCTGTTTTAAAGAACATGTTTAATTCACTCGGGATTACATGATTTCATTTACTTCTGTTGTCAGCTAAAGAATATTTAAATTTTTCCTAAGATTTTTAGAATGTACAAATATATTAATTATTTGGTGTTACTAAAATGGATGATAGGTAATTAGTTCATATTCCTGTTTCCTCTCTTTTAACACAATGTATCAAATTTGAAAATAAAACATGGGTAATAGCATAAGGGTGATTGAAACTGCCAAAAAAAATATTTTTTATGGGGGTTTGGGGGATAAATTAAACAATTATCTAAAAATTAATGTTCTTATTTCAGCAAACAAATCTGAATAAGTCCTTCTTTGATTTTAGTTTACCATGTAATTCTAACCAGCTAATTATCCTTGGAGTCAAGAATGAGCTGTGACTCTACACCTGGCTTTCCCGATCATATGCCTATGATCTCCTCCACTTTCATTTCCTCTTTCTACAATGAGTTTTAATATTAAAGAAAAACACACACACCTTACATACACACTGATGGACAGCCAGCTTCCAAGAAATCATGAGCTACAAAGAGAGGGGGAAAATGTTAATGCAATACTTATGTTAAAGGGTATTAGGTGCTGGGTAAGCCAGGGGTAACATAATCAACAGCATCCGTCTGGCCATTGTTTTCGTATTCTAAGATTTGGAATAAAGGACAGTAATATTATTTTAGTGCACCCAGGTTGATTCAGATCCTTAAAGTACAAAGAGGCTAAATGCACTATCTTTGTATGCTCATCAATTCAAATTTACAGAACAATATTTTGGGGGGGAAAAACCGTTTTTTTTTTCTACTTTTAGAAATAAAAACAGGGCTTCCATAAACATTGTGGCTATGCACTTGATGATATGAAAAATAAATTGTTTTAGACCATTAAAACACCCCAGGAGACTGTTTCTTTGCCAAAAAAAAAAAAAAAAAAAAAAAAATGAAGTGGCATAAATTTCTCATATATTTACCTTTTTATTATATTCCTGTTTCTGCACATTAAGCATGCCTTTCTGCCTTCCTCTACAGATTTATTTGAAACAGTAATAAATGTTTGCTTAATAATATACTGCTCTATTTTATACTTTTCTTTAGAAATTAGAAACCATTATTCCACAAAGGTAGAGCACAAAGAAAGCCGACACAAGGCATTGCCAAAAAGCCACAAGTAGTATTAGTACATGCCAGAACACTTAACATTAAACTATCATTTCTCTCTAAAACTTTTGTTGCCAAGGTGCTCACAAAATCTGGAAGCTCAAAGACAGGTTTAAGTGCAATTAAATTCTCCAAAAGCAAAACTGTACAAAAATATGCCGCCCTCTTATTCACCATTTATAGACAACATTTTCTCAGGATCTTAATTAAGATAACGATGCACACCTGTGTCAACATTCTCTGGCAAGACAGCCTTATCAATCATAATCCTTTAAGTACACTGCAAAACAGCAAAGCGATATGACAGAAGCAATCTGTTGCCTTTCCTGGTGTTGGTGTTGTGTCTCTCCCACAAGAATGATGAGATCTTTAAAATACAGCAGACCTACTTTTATGAGTCTTTAAAGTTTTAACTGTAAACAGCTATTACACTAAGTAAACAGGAATAACCTCTTTTGCACTTGATTGAAACAATGACAACTGTACAGCCAAAACTTGAAGAACAGGCTCTAAGGCCATGTCTTGGCAATACAATTGTGGATCGTAATTTAAAGCTTTAAACTTTAAGAGTTATGCATAACTGGATCTCTGCACACATGACAAGTCAATAAACCCTTAGAAAGTTATTAATGAGAGGTTTTAATAATCCTACCTTAAAAACAACCAGAACAAAACTATCCCTAGTGTAAGTTAAAACGTTCAGAAAGATACAAATGCAATAAAAAGTAAGGGGGGGAAAAGTCGTCTTGGTAACCTGGGACGGGAGGAAGATATTCCACCTCTGCTGGGGCAGAGAGTTTCAGGGACAAGAGACCAGTGAAACTACCGCTAACAAGTAAGCAGGTTCCCAAAGGGAAAAGCCGATGAATAGAAAGGGAAAAAGGGGGGAGAGGGGAACATATCGTCACGACTATCAAGATAAAAAGTTAAAACCTCGTGTTTACCAGCGACAACGTGAAAGCTTTCATACAAAAACGGAGAAAATCCCCCAGATGCTATCTGAATTCCGTCTGCCTGCTAACGATCAGCCCTTCCCTTTCACATATTAACACAATTCTATCTCAGACGCCGCTGGCGGCCGTGGCCAGCCGAGCAGCAGAGCCATCAATGTGCAAATAAAGCCGAAAATAGAGACATCCTTAAGAAATGAGTCTTAAATTTGACGTAGAGCGGAGGTGACAACCACGGCAACAGAACCATAAATTCTAAATGCTTCTATATCTTGCAGGACTCTCTCTAGTCCTTGACACCAAAAAGAAGACAGTAAAAGACGAGCGGGGGGGAAAGGACCTTTGGGGAGTGGGGGGAGAAATAGCCTTGCGGCCCAGACTGGAAGGATGATGTAATGAGGTTGTCTGTGTGACAAACTCAGATTCTCAGTGGCACGAACCTCCATGGCTCCATGTCAGAAACCTTCGTCCTGGACGAGAGCCGAGAGGGTGGAGGGGACACGCGTGAACGGAGGTGACACGCCCACGCGCGCCCGCCCGGGAATGGTGTCACCGGGAGAGGCCCGTCCGACACTGCCGTGGCCCATGCCCATGGTACGCCCGGCCGCGCGCGGGGTAGCGCCGCGTCCATTGGGTCCACAAGGGGACGCGGCCGCGGCTGGAGGCCCGGGAAGCCCGGCGGCGCGGCACAGGGCACCCGGCTCG